TACTCATCGTACCAGTTTTCAAATTTGATTTAATATTCTGCGTTTTGTTTCGTTTGTTTAGCTTTATATCAATTCCTATATTGTCCGATTAGTCAGTTTTAACATTTTTGGCTTTCCTTTCGTTCCTGTTTCCATTAAGAAAAATTTGTGATTGTACTTGTTTACCTTTATTTTGTAGCCAGCTATTTGGCTGGTTACAGGGGGAATAGGTATATACAAAGCGCCGGTATGGTTAGTGTTAAATTATATTCTTCTCGTTTCGAAAAATCGGATACGCGGTAATTGTGACTTTGATGTCGATTGCAATTAAATATTATCTGATTATGACAACGGAATATTCTCTATGAAATATTTATTTATTCCTACGCTCCGAACTTTCCAATGTCAGTGTACACACTTTTCAATATTACATTAATAACACTGCTGTGACAACGTACAATCTTACCTACTTACATCGAAGGATTTAAAAAGAAAAGTACTGCGTTTAAAAGAAAGGAGCGTTATGCATTTTACACGGGACCACAGATTCAACAAGGAAAGGTGTGTTACATAAATTTGAATGGCAATTCAGCAAACGCGTGAAAAAAAGGAGAGAAAATAGAGTGAATGGAAAATAGAGACGTGAAATGACGGATTAAGATATCAATGCGATGAACGCTAGAACTACCGAACGTTTAATATGATTAATATGTAATCCTTATAAAAATTGTAACAATAACATTTTTTTCGGTATCTTCCTATATTTATTATACTATTTAAATGAAGCTATTCATTTTTAGATAATTTCAAATATTTAGCACTTTGAAGATATTAATAATCGAAGCCATGAATTCCAAAACAGTACCAGTCAACAATTTCGATAAAAATCAAATATCATTTTCATCTTCGTTCATTGATTCATTATCCATTTTATTAATTCTTGCTGCAAACATTACCTACGCATACATCTTCGTTGCATGTACATTTTCAATATTATTAAATAGAACTGGTTAAGCTAAAAACAGTTAAATCAGTAACTCATAGATACCGTTAAAAAGTGGATTTGCAATGTGTTGGAATTCACGACTCCAATTGTGAAACAAGAAATCTGAAACCCGTCATTTTGACAGGTGCGGTAATTCTAGCGCTAACGAGAATCTACGAAGAATGCAAACGGCGAGCGCTAGTCGAAGACAATGCGAGTTCGATCCTAAGTAACGGGAAATCACGTGCGTCCCGTTTACGTCTAGAAATGTACATTATATCGGCCGAGAAATTCAGGATTCCTTTGATCACGCAGTCCCGGCTCAAGCCAACGCACTTCATTTCCATGAACTTCACGTATTACCAGAAGAGCGCTTTCTAATCAGCCTCGGGGTAATATTTATCGCCGTTCGGTGCGTAACGGGTAATCGGGAATACCCGTCAGAACTAAGATAATTTCCCGTTCCATCCTAGCCAATTTCAATCAACGAACTAAGATAATTCGACGGGTTCGAAAAATCTGCGCGTATTTTCCCAGGTTCCATCCAAGGTTACCGATACACCGCATTCCGGTCGAGCACGCGGAGCTCAGCGCAACGAGAGCTTGCTCGTAAGCAGCTTGTAACGAGGCGTTACAACAACTGAAAGGGACAGCCGCGATTACGGCGGTTAATTGAACCACAGGAATTCTGAAATTCATGAAACAAGAGCGAGTTCCGTTGCAGCTTTGACAAGCACGGGTTCTCGTGACTCGTGACCGGGGGAATTATTCAGCGTGTACGTGTTCAGAATTTCTTTCTGTCACTGCTCGATGATTTCGTTCTTCTGCTTGGAGAAGGATTAACGAACCAATTAATGGTAATCGGCGTCGATTATGATACCAGTCTCGCGTCTCGTTCAATGTAGCTCGGTATGCTAAAAGCGAGTACGATTCGACGTTCCGTTTTTAGATGATTTTAGTCTCACCGAAAACGTCAGTTGGGAATCCTAGTTGGGACGGGTCTTCCCCCATCGGCTATCCGGAAATTTGACGCCGCATCGAAAGCTCAATCTTGTGACATTTCAAAGAAGGGAACTTTTCCCCAAGATGTTTTCCGAGAATACCAACACTCGAAGCATCGAATCATTCGAGCGGGACCGCTGAACTATACTTTGACTCGTTCGCTGGACTTGCGGCACGGTTACGCGACGACATAATGTTTTTTTCCTTCTATTCTCGATTCGATTACTCCCACAATAGAGACGGATACACGCGGACTCTATTCGCGGCGAATCTGCGCTGGAATGCTTCGCTCTGACGTAAGAGAACGGAAACAAAATGCAAGATAGGAAACCAAACGTGTATAAAAGATCTTTGGCTGGCGAAGTGGTTATTGTTAACGATCCACGCAGTTACCGGCCAAATTACGTAACTTTCCGACTGGTAAATGAATCAATATTATCTCGATTAAAAGATTTTCGAAAAACTCACCCTAACGACATTCTACGAAAACGTTTTTGCTATCAGAGAACATAATCGACTATTTTTCTTTTGATGCGGCGTTGATGACAACCATGTGCCACTGAGTTGTCGCAATTCGATCGTTAACGAAGCTGAAGCGTTAGAACGTTACTAAGTTATTTTACAATGGAAAAGCACTCGCAATAGTTTCATTTATAATTTCGCTAGACATTTTTTGGGCTCGTGAACGATATAGCGCCCTCTATCCTGAAACAGTTTAACTTATATTATGTTCGGAAATGCTTTTCTTTCACGAGAAACAGGTTTTACGAATAAAAAGGTCCGCGGCAAGCGGGTGAAATACGACGCAGCAAAGGATGCCCACCTCTATATCACAATGATTTGAACAAGCAGATCTGGTTTGATTCCGTTGGAATGTATTCCACTGCTACTAAACACCTCTTTTTCTTTTCTACGATTTTTTTACAGAGGCCACTCTTTGCTCTAGTTCTTTTCATCGGTTTAATGAAAATAACAGACTAATAAGTAGCAGGTACAAAGGTAACGAAGGAAAAACAAGAAGACATCTTTATTATTCTCTTTTTTATACGATCAAGTACGAAACTCATACGATTTAATGCTCAAAATGTTCGAGACGCTTACAGCATTCAACAAAATATTCTCTTACTGCAAATGTTAATCTCCTCTCTTCATTAGGTCAAATATCAACTAAACACGTGTGTCAAACTTTCGCGAAAACGTTCCGCATCGCAGAAGCACGAACCGATAAGAAAACAGAGTAGAAAAATATCAAGAATGATTGCAATGAATTTTTGTACGTGCCGTTTCTGGCTCGCCCGTGTTTCTCATTTTAATTGAGAAATAATAAGCAACCTTTTTTTTCCGGATCGAACCAATGAAATGCATAATTTTCAACCGGCTGGCTCGAGCACGCGACACGACAAAAAGTTCTATTACGCGCGAACGCCGACGGAGAACGCGTGCTTCCAAACGGAATCTATTTAGTAATCCGATTCCTACTTAGGAAATCGGAGTATCGCGTTTTCAGCGTGCCAATCAAAAAACATCGTCATCAGAATCGATCGTCGACTCGTTTTCAAGCTTCCGTTGTCGCAACGACGATCTTCGTGTTGTTCGCGAACAAATCAAACAAAACTGTTTTCCCTAACAAGCAAGAATTGCATGATTGATATTAGTTCTGATACACGGATTCAATTTAACGCAAGAATGAACAAATTCCACGAAACAGAACTTAAACTGTGTTTCCACTATTCGTTTCTTCGCTTTTCTTTTTTGTACAATTCACGTGGATGTTTTTTAGACTAGGAATACCCGGATGAATACGGGAAAAAATGGAATAATAACGATCCGAAGCGATTTAATATCACTATTACCTATAATGACCACGATTAAAACACAATTTACATTCCTAATATATTGTTGCATTCTTTAACGTATACATCTTTGGAGAAATAAATGAGAACTAGATGATAACTAGAAGTTGGTCAAAGGTAAAGAGGAATTAAAATGAGCTACTTTTCCGCATACGTTAATCGTCACAATAAATATACACGAAAAGAACGTTAATAATCTCGGAGTACTAATAGACCTTTAACCACCGCAAAATTTCATTATACGGAAACGTAAAAAACTTGAGATACATTTTCAATTTTATCATATTAAATATCCTATCAACGTTTTCTCTACATTTACCCAATAACTCGTTCTTCCATAGATAAATTAAATAATACAAAAAAATCATCAATCGTTAACACATTGCGTACCGGAAACTAGAAATCTCGTTTTTATTTAAACCTATCGTTGTAATTTTGCGAACTACCACATCATTTAAGGAAATATTAAACTTTATTAGAACTGATTACTTATTTAATACTTATGAACTAATAAGATATTTGAATATTTTTCATATAGTGATATATCACGAACTTATAAGTTGATCTCATTGAAAAATCGGCCAGTGTTCTAAGAATTAACCGGTACGCAATGTGTTAAGTACGAAAACATCAATTCCAAATTAAATCTATTTAAGATGGCGTCAACACGAGTACACCATACGATTACCACTTCCAACGCTGAAAAACATGTCGAAGCACCCGCGGAAGTCGAAACACAGTGGCAACGGCAACGGACAAGGATATTGATAAACAGCGTAAAATTAAGAAATAAAAATCTTTATGCACTAACAGAAAAAATCTTAGTTCTAGAAACAGGTTCTACTGCATCGTACATTCACGACGAAACGAACACTGAAAAGAGAAATTTCTTGGAAGAATTTTTATTTCGGTTTAATGGAAGGGCAGGCATCCGTGTATATTTTATTTTTCCCTTTTGTTTTTTTGGAGGGGTGGGGCGTATTTAAGTAAATTTCTCGGTTATTGACAGCGATTATTTTGATCCTGTTCCACGCGCACGGGAAGAGGCGGCAGCGTGAAACGTGCTCTGACTCAGAAGCACGTGACGATGTTTTAAGGAGAGATTGGTGCTAATGCGCAAGCGCGTCGGCGCACCGCGTATAGGCGAATTCTCGCGGCTGTCACGCGTCTGCTCTCAGGTGAGTGTTCCCCCTAGTCGAGACACGGTGACGTTCGCGGCATTCGAACGTTTATATAAACCTTTTCCGTACCGTTCCCCAAAACAATCGAACGAAAAACACTTGGCGGACCGCTTTTCCGAACCGCCAGCCGATAAACAACTCGACGGTTTCGAGTTTCCATTTTTTCCTGTTCTTCGTAACGATTTTCCTTTGCTTTGTTTCTGTCACCAATTTTCTTTTTGACCATTGACCGACACATGTGGTATTTGTAAGTTCGATCGAAGAGTATATATTATTCGAGGTTCGGGAACCGTTTGCAGCCGTCGTCCAGTGAACTGTACCCGCGTGTCTCCAGATAAACGAAAGGGGAAAGAGACCGGAAACGTTGAAAAACGGTAAAGCAGACGAGCCACCTCGCTATTATGGCTTCGACAGGTCCAATTGTTCTGGTTCATCGTTCGATGTGATGTGACAATTAAACGCAAGGTATTTGAAATACTCGATGTTATTTAATTTTATTTTTTGTCATTTTCTTTTGCTCTATTCTGTTTCCTCTTGTATCATTTTATTTCATTTCATTTTACTTTATTTTAACACATTATTGTTGTTATTACTGTTCGTATTGTTAGCGTATATTTTTCTCTATATATATATATTTTATTCTTCTTCACTCACCATTTTCTTTTTTCACTGTCTACTATTTAGCGTATCTATGGGAATGGTTATATTATTTACGTAGTTGAGGGGTAGTGTTTATAAATTATGATTCTATTCATTAGAATAAATATTTCACTGTCTCCTTTGATTCAATAGATCGTTTAGATTAAGAATGCAATCATGTAATTCGTTTAGTAGAAATACAACGTGTGTTCGCGACGCATTTCATTCCGTAAATTGAAATGTATCCTCGGGGTAGAAGCGTTCTGTCGGAGGATACGCATCAGTCGTTTAATGTGTTGTAAATTCAAATCATGTGTTCGGATGAACGCCATGAACATTTATTTCATAAAATCGTAACAATTTCTTGAATGTTCCTAATAATGTATTATTACCTTGAGACGAAATTAATATCGAAATTAAAATGAGTATTCTTTCATTTACAGAAATTCTATAACCCATGGTTCTAAAACATTCGAATAATTTTACTTCCTATTCTAAGAGCCGTTTTCTTAGATTCAGCTTTTTGCACCCACGCCCTTATTGCACCTAACGCCTCATTTGTATTCCTTTTTGCAGTGCATGAGTCATGAAACTTTTACAGAATATTTTCGTTCTTTATTAATAAAGACCTAGTTTAATACTTTTCGTCGGTAGTGAATACATAGGTACTTTTGGATATATTAGTATAAGTATATACTAAAATAGGTTTTAAAATAATGATAAACGCACAAGTACTAAACCATTTGTGTTAAAAAACAATGAATATTAAAGACATTTCCATTTCAATATTATGAGATATGAGATTCATGTTCTCAAAAGTTGTTTAAATATTATTCCCATCAACCTGACCACAGAGAGCTGTTATTAATACATAATGTAATTAATTAAAATTAAAATATTTCGTAAATTAACGATGTCTCTTTGTAAACAATTTTAAAACTTCTTATAAAAAAGTACTATGATTTAAAGTTGAAGAAAGCTATTTGTCCTTCGTATGTCCACTACGCGTACACCCACATATGAAACCATTCACATAAATTTATATGTCCCGTAAACTCATTTAAATTTTATGCAAATCATTTTTCCACATCATCAATGATTTCAAAAATATTCACGAAAATTGATTTTAACTGGTCATCTTGAGTATATTTGTATTTGTTTCATTAATTTTATTCGATTAAATATTTCTATTCGCTTAAAATGTTATCACATATCTTTTTGAATTATGTTGTTCGTTTTATATACTTAATTCTAGCGTTGAATCTTTTTCATCGTTTTGAATTGATCGTTTAAATGTATAATTAATTTTGTTCAGTACATATAATATTAAATTATAATAAGAGAAAGTTTCGTTGAATTTTATTACATTTTTCGAAGGTCACTTACTGTGTTTTATTAAATACATGTAACTATCAGTTTTTAAAACTGTTATATCTTCTTTTCGAAAGTAACATGATAAAATACTTTCAATTACATTAGTAACTGCTTTGCTACAAACTACTTTTATTTCGAAATAATAAAGGACTACTATAATTTTTATTACATTTGTAATAAACTATTTCAAATGAACTACTGTAACAGTAAACTACTCTCTTTTTGAGTATTGAAAAAGAATGAATCGTATATACGTTTTTTTATCCTTAAAATAACCATGTATTCCATGAATGCAAAGAAGATAGTAGGAATAGTAATTAATTACCTTCGTAATTGTAATGCTATGAAAACAATCCGGGCATTATCTCTCGATCAAACGGCAATTTATAGTCCAGCTATTCTCCTTGTTCGAAGTCAATTACTATGTCTTTTTATAGTCTTCCGTAAGTTTTTTTCAATGCGTCTCACCAGCGAAAGTACCTACATTATCGTTGATCACAATAGACGCACTTATTGTCTGTTCGAAACGAATGGAAAAAGTATAGTTGTTTAATTGTGCGGATAAATCATCTTCCTTTTATACGAGGAAAAACATTTTTAATTCAAGTTACAAAATGTTTTCAAAATTTGAAGCTGTGCTTAAAAATTGTGGAATCTAAACATAATCTAATAATTGTAATAGTAACAATAATAATATCTTTTTATCGTAGACTTCACAGTATGGCAAATTAATGAAAAATACAGTAGAATCTTCTAAATCTATAATAAAAATAATGGTATACACCAGATTAAATTAAGTGGATAAAAATGATATGAGTTAATTAAATGAAGAGAAGAAAGTACGTAGACAATCATTGCGTTTGAAAATCGAAAATTATTTTAATAATTCAATTGAGTATAAATATATTTAAGTAATTAATTATCAGTCACTTAACGTGATAACGTTTAAATGAAACATTACTATTACTTATAAATTATATTTGTGTACGGCTAAAAGAAAAGTGAGCCTAATTCGAAAGACAAACACTGTGTTTAAATTAAACCTTAAAAACCTTAAATAAGAAAAATAACTTTTTCTTTAATTAGTGGTTTGGTAAAAAATCCATGCAGTCTTTCTTTTAAATAAGTATTATATATATATATAATACTTTAACAAAGTCCAGTTCATTAAACTGAAATTCGTTTTCAAATTTAAAATTGGGATATAACTCATTCGACCTAAATCGTCCCTGATATCAATAACGCAAACAACGATTAAGAAACTGGACGAATCAAAACCATGGAAATAATATTAGTTGATCGATTGGCGCGTAATGCACATTGAAATTGCTCAGAGAAAGCATCATCCGCTTTTATGTAGGATTATAGGCCTTCTAATAAACTTTCGCACGTGCTTCGATGTGACTGGTAAACGCGCGAGCGGAACAAATGCGACAAATCGAACAAAAAATTATACAACACCTTTTGATCGTGAACTAACGAGACATTCTTCACCGTTTTACATATTTCAACGAAGATCGTAGTATGGTTCTTTGAAAACTCGTCGGTGAACTGATCGATGCAAGAGAACAGGGAAAAATATTAGAAAACTGTGGGAAAAAATTCTAGAAAACCAATTACACGTCCTCTGATACATACATCGTTGCATTCACGAGGAAAGTATGTACGTTCAGAAAGAAAATAGACCTTGTTACACCGTTCAGTTCTTTTCTCCGGCATCGTTCCGTGACTACGACAAGACGCGAGCCTATTGCTCGTCCTGATTGTGTGTCTCGTTTCCACGAGACCGCAGTTTTTATCATCATTTCGTGTTTACGAGCTCGTGCAACATTATAAAATACTCTGCCCTTTCCCCTTCCACATAGTTGTAGAAATTTATGTGCATTAACCAACTTGATAAAAAATTGACATCTATTTATTTGGGAAAAATTAGGTGAGGTCCTGACTGTTACATAAGGCAAACTTTGTCATTTAATCAACTGTTTGAATGGACGGTAACAAATCCTTTTATATTGATTACATTCAATGTTATATTAAATTAATATTAATATTAACACGTTAGCGACCAGCGTTTGTTTCAGTGGTAATTTTCATAATTACAATAATTCATTGAACGCAACAACTCGTCCTTATAAAATAAGAATAAAGTTCAAGAACAAAAGAATGAAACTTTTATTACTGTTCTGTTATTAGCATTATAATTATTATCATTTCATTATCATTTGATCATTATGAACAGGCTGTCAGTAAAATATCTTGAGAATTGATCGTCCTTAATCATCATGTCATATCATCACGTTGAAAGTGTATATGGACTCTGTAACATTATTCATCATCTAAATCTGCAAATCCAGTACAACAAGGTATTCCATACAGACAAAAGAATTAAAAAGTACAGGAAAAAATGAATTTTACCAAACCATATCGTGAATTTCTTTGATAACATCGAACGAACCGAAAATATATCAACAACGACATTTACATATCAGGCAATTATGCATTAACGTAATCTTGCTTAATTTAACTGCCGATATCTGACCGCAAAACGATCAACCATCACTATTCGATTAATTATTCAACGGCGATGATTCTGTGTTTTAATCTGTTAGCTGACAAATTTAGTTTCAAAAATCTCCGATTGTGCGCGCAATGAAGTAAAACAATGAAGCGTATACTCGCCAAACGCGGGACATCTGTAATATATTTGAACGAAAAACTAAAACGGAACGAAGAAGAATTATGTACATGTTTATCTAAAAAATTAAATAATTCATGGTTGAAAGAATTAGTATCATTTTCAGCTTTGTGATGACGTATATACCCGTCGAACGCAGTTAACTTGTTAATCCAGTCGCGTCAATGAAAATTTGATCGACTCGCGCCACTCGCGTTCACGATCGTTGCGCGTGAACATTGTTGTCGCATCCGAATCTTGCATGGTTCATCAAAATTGTGTAACGATTTCCATCGGGTTCTAGGAAGGCCTTGGGACCTATTTATAAAATGCATTTAGCGAGTGTGCATGCCTGAAAGATTCGTTCCGAAAAATAACAAAGAAAAAAGGGAATAGCAGCCGAAACGGCAAGGAGGGGGAAAATGGTAGACCGCAGGGACGTAACGATAGGCCTTGACTAGCCTAATTGCGACCGTAAATCGAGAACGATCGGAACATTTTATGCAAGGAAAATTACTCTGAATATTTTCGACTGCGTAAAGGAGATTGTAAATGCACGGAATCTGTCGGTACACGACTTTTTCCTTGAATTTAGCTTGGAATAATTACGATTGTGTCCCTCGATGGTCTATTGCAACGCAATTCGCAATACATCGACCAAATTCTACGAAAAGAGTGCATAATTCTATTTTTACACGATTTTAATTTAACATGAGTTACTTTTTCGTTCTCACCATTTTGAAATTGGTGAGTGCTTCCAAAAACACACTTCTTTTTT